GTGCGGGTGAGGAGGGTGGGTGGGGGGCCCTGTGCTGGGGCCAGGGCGCTGTGGTGTGGGTAAGGAGGGTGGGTGTGCGAGACCTCTTAGCCCAGGTGAGTACTGGTGGGGGGCCCTGTGCTGAGGGCCAGGGCGCTGTGGTGTGGGTGAGGAGGGTGGGTGTGCGGGACGTCTTAGCCCAGGTGAGTACTGGTGGGGGGCCCTGTGCTGAGGGCCAGGGCGCTGTGGTGCGGGTGAGGAGGGTGGGTGTGCGGGACCTCTTAGTCCCGTTCTGCAAACTTTCTAAGTCTGAAGCTACTTCGGAACGGTACGTTAAGAGGCACACGATGTGTGCGGGGTTCGGTGACCGCCGCGCGCCACGGGCACTCACAGCCGGAGCCACCAGGCCTCCAGGTGCTCCTCGTGCTCCTCCAGCAGCCGGTTGCACTCGAAGTCGCTGCTGCCACACAGGCGTTCCACGATCTCCAGGAGGCGGACCTCACTGCAACACAAGCCCGTCAGCACGGCAAGGCCAGGGGGAGGCGCCCCTCGGTAGGGACGTCCTGAGGCCCCACCTGGTGGCACTTTAGTGAAAAAAGACCCCCAACAAACACATTGGGGGGGGGTGGCCTTAATCGGCAATGAGCAGAGAATTAAACCGCGGGCGGCAGTGGGGGCAGAGAGGCGCCTCTAGCCTCAGGGTGACAGGCCTTCAGGGCTGGGGTCCATGGGGGAAACCCTGAAACTGGCAGGACAGAGAGCTGTGGGGGAGGGGGAAGCCAGCAACGGCTCACATGGGTGGGACTCCCGCTCCAGTCCAGAGGACAGGTGACTGCACTGAGGGGACCTTCTGCGTCTGTCATCTGCGTGGCTGACAACGTTCACGGGAACAGGGCCGGTGCTCAGGGCCGGTGCTCAGGGCAGAGTGGGCGCGCACCTGAACTCATACTTGGACAGCGACTTTTCCTCCCAAGCCGTGTTCCCACCGCCGAAGTTCTTCTTGGCGGTGTCCGCCATTCCCTGCAGGGAGAGAGTGAGCACGGGGCTCGCGCTGCTGCCCCATCCTGCCGGGGGGACCCAGGTCCATCACGGAGGTGGCCCCGTTCACTGCAGGGGGTGACCCCAGGACCATCTCAGGGGTGACCCTGGCCTATGGCGGGGGCGACCCTGGTCCATATGGTAGTGATCCTGTTCGCCGCGGGAGCTGACCCTGGGTCCATGACCCTGGGTCCATGACGGGGTGACCCCAGTCCATCGCGGGGTGACCGGGTCCGTGTCCCCGGTCCCGCCGCCCCCGGCTCCGTGTCCCGCAGGGCCCGGCCCACCTGGTTGAACTTGTCCACCAGCTCCCGGCAGCGCGTGCAGGGCGTCGGCTTACTGGAGGCCTCTCCCGGCGGCGGCGGCAGCAGGAGCGACAGCAGCAGCCCCAGCGCGGCCAGGGCCAGCGGGCGCATGGCGGGCCGAGGAGGGCAGCGCTGCGAGGACGCGGCCGCGCGGACTCTGGCCGAGGTCCGGCGGGTACGGCCGAGCACTCCGGCCTCCGGCCGCCCACCGGCTCCGCGGCGCTAGCGGTTCCCGGGGCTACTTGACGGCGCCGGGCGGGGCCCCGCCCCCCCGCCAGTCCTCGCGCCGCTATTGGTCGGCAGGTTCCGCCCTGTCCCCATGTGGCCCAATCCGGGCTCGCCACGAGAAGCGACCAATAGGAAGGCCCCGGGTCAGCGTCCCGCTGGGAAGGGGTGGGAGCAAGGACTGAGAGATCCGAGCCCGCCCCTCGCGAGCGCCTCCCTCGGCGGCCATCTTTACTCCGGGCAAGGGGGAGGGCTCCGGCCGCGATGGCGCCCTGGCTTTGGCGGTCATGTTAGCTTCGGGCAAGAGCTTCGCCTCGGTCCTCGGTTTCCGCTGCCCCGCTTCCGGCCCACGGCAGTCGAGACGGCCGCGCTCGGAGGAAAGGCGCCGCGGGTGAACGAGGTTAGCGCGCGCTGCCGCGGCCGGGGCTCTCAGGGTGGGCGGCGGGAACCCCGAGCTCTTGCTTCCGCAGCGCCCCTGCAGCCTCCCGGTGCGCGGGCACAGGGGGCGGCGCCGGGCCTCTCACCTGGAGGCCCAGGAATCTGCATTTCCCACGTGTCCCGGCTGGGCACTGGAACCGTGGTTTCAATGAGAACTAAGATGAGCATTAACTGAGCTCCAGTAGGACGTACCCGCCAGAAAGGGGCACAAATGACACAAAATTTTCTCCGGTCTGGCTGATAGCTGGCCAAATTTGCACCAGATTTGTTTCCAGCTAAGGGATCAATAACTTGAACGTCCGAGTTGACCAGTTTCAGCAGAGGCCTTAGGACGTGAATTGAGGGGACAAGCGGGCCTTTGTAGGCTGTCCCTAACCTGAGATGCCATTCTCCTGGAAACTGCCCTTTCTGCAGTCACGGTGTCTCATTAACCACTTGAACAGCTGCGAGCCGGGGTGGACCAGTGCACACGCAGACGTCCCCTCGCTCTCTCGGCCCGGCGCGGGGTTGACCGCGGTCCTGCACTGCTGGTGTCCCCTCTGGCTTCCCGTGGTCGTGCGTGAGCGTCTGGCTTACACTCGGTGCTGCCAGCGCCTTCCGAAATAAGCTGCTCTGCAGTTGTCTTCCGCCGTTGGCCGTCGGCGCAGGGCGCACTCGCGTCTGGGGAGGAGCCCCTGGGGCCCGGCGCACAGGCCCCACCCGGGCAGCGCGCTTCCCCGCGGGGGCGGCCCTGGGCAGAGTGGTAGAGTGGGGTCCGCCGGACAGCTGCGAAGCCTGTCAGGTTCCCGCCAAGCGGCGCGGCGCAGCTGTTCCCACGTCTTGGCTGTTAGAGACGCTTCCTACTTCGTTAAACCCCCGCCACCCCCCACCCCGCACCCCCGCCGCGGCAGGAGCGGGAGACAGTGCGGTGTTCCGCGGTCCCCGCGGCTCTCCTGGAGAGGAAGGCAGTCACGTGTTTTTACTGAAACCGTGAGCTGGTGTGATCAGATCCACGCAGAAGAGTTTTTACCGACTTTCGGCTGGTTCGTTGAGCACCTGCTATGCGACAGGCTCTGCCGAGAGAGCAGTGAGTGAGCCTGGCGGCCCTGCGGGCACTGCGCCAACCGTGGGGGGTTGGGGGGACAGTCAGAGGAGGCCTCTGGTCTGCACGTTTGGGCACCTCACGATGACCAGGGTGCACTCTCCTTGCTGAGGTTGCAGTGGAGATCGGCCCAGAAACAAACCAGAAAAGTGCCCCCTGGAGGAGCTCACAGTTTAGAGAGAGGGAGACAAGCTGGACGTGCCTCTTTCCGCAGTCGAAAGAGAAAAGCTTCCCGGACTGTGAACGAGGGGTGATCCGAACCCCGAGAGGCCTCCCTGCTCTCCTTCCGCCTCACCGCCACCCCGGTGCTGGGCGGGGTTCCGGATGCTCCCCGTTTCGCGCTGACTCCCGCTAGCTGCCTCTGGAGGGTACACGCTTGGTAAATGCCCCTCCAGCCAGAGCAGCTGCCGCCGGCAGTGAGTGCCCGGCTCTGCCCTTCCACTCCCGGCCCCTCTGGCCTCGGTCAGACGAAGTCAGGCCTGTTTGGAGAGAAGCCGGACACACAGGAGGGAATGTGCCGTCTTCTCTCCCCAACGTGACAGGTGGAGGTCGTCCGAGGAGGAAGCGGCTGGACATTTCCATGGTTTTCTCGCCATGAGTTCCCCCAGATCGTCTTGTTGGTATCTGTGTGATCCATTTGGGCATGACCATCTGTACCTCTCAAGGACACGTCATGCTTTTTGCCACCCATGTGTTCAGGTCCACGACCAGCGTGGTGCCCCAGGGTAGGGTTCAGAAGGCCGTGGCCAGGCGTCCACAGCCCCGTCCCTCCGTGTCTGGGGCGCTGGGGCTTCTCCGGCTGCCCCGTGTCCCCTCCCGCCCTCCAGGCTCACGGTCCCCCTCCAGGCTTGGCCGAGATCACAGGGTCTGAGCCACGTTTTCCTCGCTGTCCTGTTGAGTCCAGTGCCCCCAGCACGGGGCCCACCTACTGCCCTCCAGAGGCCGAACTGGGGCTGCCCAGGGCTGAAGGCTTCTTCCTGGAGAAGCCCGGCTCAGCGCGAGGTGGCCGCCCACCGTGCGAGGGCTCCCCGAGCATGCTTCTCTGCAAAGCGTCCGCTTGAGCGTTTTCGGGTTACGGAAGTTGTGACGCTAGATCAGAGTGTGGCCGCTTGCCCTTGACCCAGGGTTCCCGATGTCAGCGTGAGCGTGAGCTTGAAACGGGACCTTTGCTTTCATTCTTTCAGTGGCGGAGCTGATGGTGGACGACGGTGCGTGAAGGGGACGCTCAATGGCCGGGAAGAGACCGTCTGGCTCGGGCAGGCAGCGCTGGCTGCTGGGGCTGCTGGTGGCCGTGGCCGCCGTCCACCTGGTCGCCTGTCCCTACACCAAGGTGGAGGAGAGCTTCAGCCTGCAGGCCATGCACGACCTGCTCTACCACCGGCTGGACGTGGACAAGGTGAGGACCCGCGCCCATGACCAAGCCGTCCCCGCATCCCGGGGCCTCGGCTGACCTCCCCCTCCGCCTGCAGTATGACCACCTGGAGTTCCCCGGCGTGGTGCCCAGGACGTTCCTCGGGCCGCTGGTGGTCGCAGCGCTGTCCAGCCCTGCGGTCTGCGTGCTGTCCCTGCTGGACGTGTCCAAGTTCTACTCTCAGCTGATAGGTGAGGGCGGGCCCCTCAGCAGGGGCAGATGGACCGCTGTGGGATCGGTCCGGGGGAGGCTCCTTCTCAGGAATGTCCAACTGCTGTCCTAGCTGTCCTCGGCCACTCAGCGTGGCGGTTCAGAGCACTGACCACCGCGTCAGTCTCAGAGACCTGCTGGGCGCGGGTCTGACTCCCCGCCGGCTGCGCACTGTCGCATCTCGGACGTGGTTCCATTGAGTGGTGGTCAGCACGTCGGCTTTACATTGTCGCCATGTCGTGCAGTCAGAGCGGTGCTCGGGCTCGCTGTGATTTTCGGACTCTGGACTTTCCAAAAAGAAGTGAGACGGCAGTTTGGGGCCACGGTGGCCACTACGTTTTGCTGGATGACGGCCACACAGTTCCACATGATGTTCTACTGCACGCGGACACTCCCCAACGTGCTGGCCCTGCCCGTGGGTACGTAGCTGCCGAGCCGAGCCCCTCGGACCCGCGGTGGCCCCGTGCCTCCCACTCACTGACAGGTGTCCGTACAGGCGCATCTGCTGTGCGAAGCTGCTCCCGGCAACAGGATGGCCCGTGACAGGGAGCAGATCTGTTCTCAGCGCTGGCTTGGGGTGCCCTTCCCAGCGAAGGGTGCACGTGGGTGGGGGCGCGTCCACTCCAAAGGCCGCCTGGGAGGGTGTTCGTCGTGTGGGACCTGGGTGGCAGGGTCTAGAAGGGGTGGACGTGAGCACTGGAGGATGGGCCGTGTGCGGGGCAGGCGGGCAGCTCTGAGTTCTCAGGGGCGTCCCACGCTGCCGGAAGGGCCACCAAGCACTGGGGGGCCGTCAGCATGCCCAGGCAGGGGTCCTCTGTGGACACAGGGCATGCTGAGGGCCTGGCTGTGGCAGGATTGGGTGGTGGGCGGGGGAGCCAGAGGCATGTGGTAGACTTGGCCTTGGGGGTCAGGGCTGTGGGGGG